CTCAGGAGGGCCCGCCACTCTCCTTTCCAGCTCCTGAGCTCCTCTGCATAAGTACTAAGCCCCACTGTCCCTCCTGAGGCTGTAAGGCACAGCAAAGTACCCTCCTTGAAAACAGAGTTGCACCTACCTGTAACACTTGTTCATTGACACCTTCTGTGCAGACACACATTGGGACTGCACTTGCACAGGCTGGCCGCAGAACATTTTAAACTCCAAATAGGGGGTGCTCTGCCCCTTTTGAGGCTCACACGGGATTCCTGCCCAGCGCTTCCCATGCTCCACTGGCAGGCGCTCTCTTTCCTCAGTTCCCACTAAGCCGCCACAAGCCGCCGCCCCCCCCCTACGGCACAATAGGCCCTGTGAGGGCTCACTGCAGGGCAGGAGGAAGGGAATGTGTGTCTGCACAGAAGACCTCGAAGAACAAGAGTTACAGGTAAGTGCGACCCTGTTTTCATCATCCGTCTTCTCATGCAGCCCCACATTGGGATTATAGAGTGTTAGAGTTGGAAGGGACCTTGCAGGTCATCTAGCCCAACCCCCTGCACTCTGCCAGGAGCTGAGCCGAAAGAGAGCCCTACAACATAGCCGAAAGATGGCCGTCCGGCCTCCTCCACTCGAAAACGTCCAGCGAAGGAGCATCCACCACCTCCCGAGGCAGTCCGTTCCACTGCTCTCAACCACTCTGACAGTTAGGAAGTTTCTCCTGATATTGAACCGGTATCAACTCCCTTGTAATTTCCAACCATTAGATCTAGCCTTGCAATCCGGAGCAAGAGAGAATAGATCTGCTCCATCTCCTACATGACAGCCCTTCAGATATTTGAAGACCGCAATCCTGTCCCCTCTAAGCTTTCTCTTTCCCAGGCTAAACAGACCCAACTATTTCAGCTTTTCCTCGTAAGACTTAGATTCCAGCCCTCTCACCGTCCTCGTTGCCCTCTTCTGGACATGCTCGAGCTCGTCAACATCCGTCCTAAAATGTGATGCCCAAAACTGGACGCAGGACTCCAGGTGAGGCCCCTGGCCATAGCAAGCTACTCACCAGACGAGATGGGCTGAGCCTCTCACTGGAACAGAGCTTGTAGAATACCCTTGCCCCAGGCTTTCAGCTAGCCTATGCCCCCACAGATGTGCCTAGCACCCTCTGGGAGGATATCAGACCCCACCCGTGCAGGCAGGGGGCCCCATAGTTTCACAGGGACAAAGTAGCCAGAAGCAGGAAGACCCCCTCACCTCCGCCTAGGAACGGGCCGGTTCCCAGCCTTGCCAAGCATGCAAGCGGGGCGGGGGTGTGGCTGGAAAGGCACGGCCTGAGGCTGCCCACGGCCACCTGCCTTGCACCCAAATGCCTCCAGCAGCACCAGGGACAGAGGGGGCGCCACTCCCACTAGCCAAGCCTGCCCAGGAGAAGCTGAGCCGCCAGGAGCCTCCCAGCTGCCAGGTCCCTCCCTGGAGCGGCGGCGGCTTCTGGGCTTCACTGGCGGACGCTGCAAAGGTGTGGCTGCCACTGCTCTGCTGCCAGGTCTGCAAAGGAGGGGAGGACAGCTGAGCCTGGGCAGCGCTGGGCACACACTGGAGCTACACAGCGCTGGAGCAGACAGGTGGTTTCTCCCCCAGCCCCCGAGTTTTTTTTTGCAGCTTTTGGCTGCTCAGTGGAGAGTATGCTGTGCACACGCTCAGAGATAAGGGAAATTAAGAGTTAGGGCACTTTAAAAGTAAACTCTCAGGGCAGCTGGAGGGAAAGTGGGGGGTTTTTCCCCCACCTCTGCTGGTGGTGGGCTCTCTCTCTCTCTCTCTAATCTAACTGTCAGGATCAACAGCAAGCAGGTCCTCTTCAGGAAAAGTTATGCTTTATTGGAATACTGGTCTGTTGTCACGGCTACAGGTACATTGTTAGGAATAACGATTAGCATAAGGGATTCGCTACATATACTCTGATGCTTCAACTAGCTAAGCAAATGAACTTCTAGCACTCGCGCGGGAATTCTCCCAGCGGGACATGACATCATGAACGGGAGACTCTCCCCCACCCCCCGAGAGCAGAAATAGTCACACTGATAGTGGAACTCAAGCCCCCCCCTTCTCGTCAATGTTGCGCTGATAGCGCTGTCTGGCTGAGCCAGTTCTCACGGATGAGAGCAAGCCTCCCTTACGTTACCCATGGCAGCAAAGCCAAGCAAGCGTGCACAAGGGTCGGGGATGAAGGTAAACAAAGAAAGCATGGCAGCTAGCTGACACTAATCTGCAATAAGTTAATTATGTTCCTCCTTCTTGGTCTTCCCCCCCCCCCCCAAAAAAAAAAATTTCCTAGCTACAGGGCTGCCTTGCCCACACCTGCTTCCTTCCTCACCGGCAGGTGTGTCCTCTGTCAACCAGGCTGCTGCCCTGCATAGATGTCCAGCAGGGAACTCGATGAAAAGTGGCCGATGAACCTTATGCTCGGGTGGAGCGTGCTTTCGCCCCAAGTGGAAACAGCCATCCAGATCTATACAGTCAAGGGGGGACCCTCCTAACATCAAGGGTATTTAGGGCCTTTTCTCCTTCGGAGCGCAGAGCTGGGGAAAACACCGGTAGGGCAACTTCCTGTGCAAGGTGGAATTCGGAAACTACTTTAGGCAGGAAGTCTAGACTCAGGCGTAAGGTGCCAGTTGTCCTGCAGGGATGCCAAGTTGGTCATCAGCGGCCTCCGAAAAGGAGCCTGCAGAGGAGGTGAGATGTGGCAACGGGGTGCCAGGATGACGTCCTGATCAGCCCCCAGACTCTTCAGAGGACGTGACCATGTCCCCCGGGGTTGAGTGCAGACGCGATCTTCTCCTTATGCTTAGATTTTTTAATGCTTTTTCGCAGGACGTTCTGATGCGACCAGACCTTGGTTGACAGTCCTAGGGAAGGCGAACGCGCACGCCTAGATTCCATCTCCAGAGAAACCACAGAGGTTCTTTTTGGAGGGATCGGAGCCATCTTGACAGTTGGGCCCGTAGGAACCGAACAGACCAATGGAGGCCTGAGACTGGGTTCAGGAGTTGGAACCGAGGGAAGTGGACCTGAGGAAGTAGGGCCCGAGCTCAGAGTCACCTTGGAAGGAACCAAGGAGAATTAAGCCTTCCCCCGTGGCACAGCTGGCAGCCTAGAGGCCCCATCCGACCAAGCCTTGCGGTAAAGCGCCAGCAAACTGAACAGGCGCGGGCTTCTCCTAAACACAGAAGGCAGAGTCCATGTTCATTGCTGTGTGTCATTTTTGTTCCACATTTTGCACATTTTTAAAACAGTGTCTTAATAGCCATGATGAGGGACCACAAACGCAATAAACAGGAAGAGCCCAGGGAAGGAGATGGGGCGTGCCTCCTGTGAGATGGACTCTCAGGGGAGTGCAAAACGAGTTCTCGATAGAGCAAAAGGAGTCTTCTTCCAGCCACAATGGCGACAAAGAAAAACAAACAGCGTGCACTAGAAAGCTTCCTGTCCTCACAATGGCAAAAAAGGAACTGAGGGAAGGGGGCACCTGCCAACAGAGCACGTGACAGGCAGGGTGGGAATCCCGCCTGTGTATCAGCTCTGAAAGGGGCAGGAGCCCCCACTTTGGCGTTTTTAAGCTACAAAAACGTTGTGTGGCCGGCCTGTGCAAACGCACAAGACAGGGACTGCACAAGAAGACGCGTGTATCCCTTCCCATGTTAGGGCTTATGCCATGTTATGTCTGCTAGTCTTCCAAGTTCCACAGCCCTCCTCCTTCCTTGTTGCTAAGGGAGCTGTGAAACCTCAAAGGCAGCCAGCAGTCACAATCCCTGTGGCCAGGAAGAGCAGAAGACAAACTCTCACACACCAGTTCCCCCAGGAACCCAAGCCTGCAAAGCAGGCCAAAGAGCCACCCCCGCTGGGGATCAGGCCGACAGCTCTCACCTGCTCTTGCACGCTGGAGTCGTCATCAACAAGGCAGCTTTGGCAGAGGGAGCAAAAGGAAGCCACCTTCTCTTTCAAGCCGAGCAACTGCACCTGCAGAAGGTGGCAGGAGTGAGGATCAGGTCCAACAGGGGACCACCAAGAGACACCCCCCCCTCCCCAAAAGCACTCCTTACCTGGCTGGGATGGGGCCCAGAGGAGGTGGAGTTGGACAAGTGGGCCAGTTCCCAGAGGAGCGAGAAGTGGGAGCAGGTCATGGCAGGAATAACCACCTACAGCAAAGACAGCGGAGGACAAGGGAAACGTTATCCTCCACGCCCACGTGTCGTCATCCCCCCCCCCCCACAGTCAAGGTCAAGAAACCCCTGTCCTCAAGCAGCCCAATGGGACGCCCAAGGGAGAGACTAGGGACTCCTGCTCTGCAGCTGCCAGACTGCCCACCGCTACCGCCCAGCAACAGCGAGACCCTCAGGCGCTGCAGCCCTACAACGGACCCACCACCACCCACCCACCCCAAGGAGCAAATCAGAATGGCCCCCAGCCAAGCTCAAGCCCCACACCCCTGCTCTCAACATCCCAGTACCTGCTTGGGGACCTCGCCTGTGTCCACCGCGTGGCGTAGGAGGTGGATGCAGGGCTCAAAGAGGCACCAGGGCGTCAGATCGTGAGCGCTGCACGTAACGGCAAAGGGGACAATCAGAAGAGAGGTCATGATGGCACGTTCCTTCCAGCCCACACACACCCCCCCCCGGGAACTGCAGGCCCAGGGCAGGCCAGGCCTTAACTCCTGGAAACACCACCAGCCTGGACGTCCTCCCCAAACCTACGGGGTGGGAGGTCAGGGCGGCAGGGCAGCATGACCTGGGGGCTGCCGACGGTGACTGAGCTCACCTTCCGCCACCCCGTGCTCACCTGTGGAAGACGGCAATGCGCCTGAGAGTGGCAGCCAGGCTGTAAGCAACCTCTTCCTCCGCAAGCGAGGACTAAACAGGAGGAAACGGGAGTCAGGCAGGGAGAGGAAGGAACATCAGAACGGCCCTGCTGGGCCAGACCACTGAGGGCCCACCTGGTCCAGTAACCTTTTCCCACACAGGGGCAGCCCTGGAGGGACCCCCGTTCCCATCCCAAGCACCCCCACGATGATGGTTTCCCCCCGCCCCCCCCCCGGGATCCTCATCCTTGCCCCCCCCCTGGGCTTTACCCAGAACCCTTAGGTGCCACTCCAGCGCAGCTCCCGGTACCTGGAGCAGTTCGGCAGCCTCATGCTGGAATTTATCAGCAAGGTGGTCCACAAAGCGGCTGAGGGCAGAATCCACCCGGCTGAAAAAGGCAAATTCCGGACAGCAAAGAGCAGACAGGGTCCTGGCAGCCGTCTCCAGCACTTCCTTGTCGGTGTGCTTTTCAACCACGGTCCACAGCTGGGCCACCAGCAACTCCAAATACTTAAGAGACAGGGAGGAGAAAGAAGAGACGCAGCGCTGTCCAGAGGGGCTCTCTGAGGGGGCGGGGCTTGCTCGGAAAGGCCAACGGGCACGTGCCCATCCCTACCTTCTCCAGACGGCCAGTGCTGTAAAGCTTCAGGTCGAAATAGCAGGGGGCCTCCAGCAAAGGCACCACCTTCTCAACATCAGTGGAGAACTGCTGGAAGAGAACAGAGCGCTCTAGAGACTTCCACCTGTTGCAAACAACAGCCAGCAGTGGACACAAACGGATGGCAGGGAGGCTGAACCTCCTACCAAGGCCCCCTCCTCTGGAGTGGCCTAGGAGGCGCGTTGCTTGCTTTGATGCTTGCTGAATCACTTTGTGTGGAGAGCATAACACAGCCTGCTGCATCTCTCATCATTTGCGACTGTTGCAACCTCCATCAGTCTCTTATCAGGAGCAAGATAGCCCACAGCATTGGAATAGGTCTCTGTAGCTGTGGACTTTCCTATTAGTAGATATATCATGTACTTCAGGTTTTTGTACTATAATGAATGTGTGTCAGATATACTAGGGTCTCTATTGTATGTAAATCAATATATGAAGACACAAGTGCATATTAGTAGAAGCGTGTTTTGTTCTAACATGGTGTTTCTTTATGTCTCAACCAAAAGCCTTCCAGGGCAAAAAAAGCCCCGGCTCAGGGTGAGGACAGCCAGACTTCTTTTGGACTGGGGATCACCAGTAGATGGTTCTCTGCAGAGCATAATGCCCTTTGGAGGACATGCCAGAGGATACGGTCTCAAAGATACATGGGTCCCTGACCACTTCAGGCCTTAAAGGTCAATACCAAACCCCTGAAACTGACACGGTACTCCACCGGAAGCCAGTGCAGCTGACGTAGCGAAGAGGAGGAGGAGGAGGAGATTGGATTTATACCCCGCCCCTCACTCGGGAGTCTTATAGCAGCTTACAAACTCCTTTCCCTTCCCCTCCCCGCAACAGACACCCTGTGGTGTAGGTGGGGCTAAGAGAGCTCCTGACAGAAACGGCTCTTTCAGAAACAACTATGGCCTGCCCAAGGTCATCCAGCAGCTGCAAGTGGAGGAGTGGGGGATCAAGCCCAGTTCTCCCAGATTAGAGTCCTCTGCGCACTTACTACACCAGACTGGCTGAGCCTTCTGTGATGTTCCAATCCGGACCTGCGCCGCTGCATTCTGGACTAGTTGGGAGTTTTTAGGCCAGTCTCAAGGACAGGCCAGCATAGAGCGAGGTACAGCAGTCCAACCTAGAGGTGCACGGACCGTTGCATGGACCACTGTGGCTAGATCAGGGCGAGACAGGACGGGGGCCAGTTGCCTCACCTGGCACAGCTGAAAAAACGCCAACTTGGCAACATGTGTGATCCAGAGCCACACCCAAGCTCCTGACAGACTGTGCCTGGTGTTAAGGGCACACCATCTAGAGTCGGGAGTTGGCACCCCAGTCATGGATCGCACCCACCCAGCCACAGAACCTCTATCTAGGTTGGATTCCGTCTCAACCGGCTCCTTTTCAACCATCCCACCACGGCCTCCAGTCCCTCAGCCAGATTTTGAGGGGCAGAGTGCCCAGGCAGCCGCCAAATCAAAAGACACAGCTGGGTGTTATCAGCATGCTGCTGACATACCAGCACGAAAGTCCGCACCAGCCGGGTGAGGGGGGCACATACGGACGTCAAACAGCACCAGAGAAAAGACTGCCACTTGAGGGATACCACATATGAAAGGATACACAGGGTGAGCACGGAGGGTGGGAGACACTGTAACAGATCTGGGGACTGAAAAGACTGGTGGCTCAGCCACGGCAGATGTTTTGGCTGCTGGGGTGACTGGGGCGGACAAAGCCTTCTCCCACGAGACTGCTTTGAGCCAAGGAGAGTGAGCCTTTGGGATGAATGGCTGGCAGATTTTGCATGCCGCTACGTTATGATTCTCCTCGAGACAGAGTGTTCATCTGTCCAGGTCATTTTTGTTGAGCCTGTCAAACGCTTCTTGAACAAAGACTTCTCAACGAAAAAGAAAGCGGTAACACAGAATGTTCTTCTCAAGGCCGATGGCAAAGAGAGAACTGAGGGAGTGTGTGGAGCCCCTCCCTGGAGCATGTGACCGCTGGGCAGGAAAATGGCTCCAATGGCTCCAGTTGGGAGGGGCTCCTCCTGCTGTTACGGAGCTAACTAGAAACCTACCGGTGGCTGGCCTGCATGCGTATGCAGTACCCATGTGGACCTGCACAGAACAACGATGATGAACCATGAAGAAATGGGCTGGAGGGTCTTACAAAGCTGGATTATAACAGCATGGTGATTCGCTCGCATAGTCTGCTCGAGTCAATTTTTTGGTATTTTATCTCCTTGGACTCCACCATCGTACATGAAACACCTAACAGCCCCCCCCACCAGGTATGGGCATTTGCTTTAGCTCGCATTAATGCCATCCCCTGCGAAGTATTACAGGGACAATTCCATCATATTCCATATTCAGATCATCTCTGCTCTTATGGTCAGGGTAAAACTGATGCTCTGTCTCACAAAATATTGGAGATTTTTTAAAACAGTTTTGATAAAACTAAGGGATCTCACCACGTTTAATACATTCCTCGTCTAATAAACTTCAAGGGGATAATATACCGTACTTGTTGCTAGATGGTGACCCAAACACAACCTACTTGGTCACTACATTTCTGTCTAGCATATTTTCCTTTAATAAATAATATATTATTCTTTTTCGTCACTAATCAAGGTCATTCGACCATAGGAGCTCTGGAAATGAGCGAAAGCTTGAAGGCAAAGTCAAGCTTCTTGAAGCTGCTTCTATATTATTGGACAAGGCAGGTCTGCCAACAGATTGTTCCCCCTAAGAAAATAACTCAAAAACCGACACCTTGCCTCTGGAGAGCTGGAAGACAAACCTTTCGGAATATCCTCTTCCCTGCTAAGTCTGCCGCGGAGCGGCTCCCGGGGGGTCTGTCTCCCCTGCCCTGCCCTGCCCCACCTCCTGGCTCTCACCATCCCGGTCGTCATCCCCAGTTGGACTCACCTTAGCCAACAACTGGGGCAGCAGTGGGATGAGGTGCTGGGTGAGTCTCAAGCGGTCCTCGGCTTGTGTCTTGCGCTCCCGGGCTGTTAATGCCTGCCAGAGAAAGAAGGCGGAAGGGAGGAGAACGCGGTCAGGGGAGCACGTCCTAGGAGACCCCCACCACGGGAAGGGAAGGGAGCGAGGGAACGCCCGGCAGTGGCCACCCTCCCTCCTCTGTTACCTTCTTCCCAGAGGCTCTGCCCACGGGGGGCTGCCCCTCCGTCGCCTGCCGCATGCTGGCCACTAAGGTCATGATGAGCGCACTTTCTTGTTGGTCACTAAAACCTGTAAAGGGAGAACAGCACACTACGGAGGGCAGGAAGCCAATGCCCACACACTACCCATTCTACGTGTCCTTATCCAGCCCCTTCTCCGAGATCCTCAGTGCGGGGTTAATGGGTCTCCCAAAGCACCCCGGCCAAATCATGACCTCGCACTAAGCCAGGCTAGATGCCTCCCCGAGGGGGCTTCCATCTGCTCAAGTATGCTTCATTGGACTGAGCCTGTGGGTGCAAGCTGCTAGCACTGACCTGGCACCACACGCACTTGCACACAAGCCATAAAGCCAGTGACCCGCAATGCCACCCTAGGTTATGCTGAGCGCCCAGCACCGTCCTTCCCGGCCACTCACCCGCCGCGGGCGGCTCCTCCAGCAACAGCCCCGTCAGCACCTGCCAGTCCTTCAGCAGGGGAGCTGCGCAGTCCCACAGGCTGTCCACCAAATAAGCCGCGTGGTCATGGAACTAAGGATGGAAGGACAAGAGCCTCACCACTGGCCCTGCCCAGCTCCTCACAGTCGGGGGGGGGGGTAGGAACGACGGCCTCCAGCTCCCTCTCACCTCACTCTCCATGAAGAAGGAAAGAAGCTGCCGAAGGAAGGCTCGCGCTCCCTCACGGGGCTCCTCGTCTCCCCTGGCACATCCCCCCTCTGGTGCCAGCAGCCTACAAGTCAAACCATCACCATTAGGAGGAGGAGAAGAGGAGATTGGAGTTATACCCCATGGCCCTTCACTACCCGAAGGGGTCTCGGAGCGGCTTACAGTCTCCTTCCCCTTCCCCTCCCCACAAGGGACACCCTGTGAGGTACGTGGGGCTGAGAGAGCTCTTTCGAGGACGGCCCTTGAGGGAACAGCTCTGAGAGGACTTGTGACTGACCCAAGGTCACCCAGCTGGCTGCATGTGGAGGAGGAGTGGGGAATCAAACCCGGCTCTCCCAGATTAGAGTCCGTGCTCCTAACCACTACACCAAACTGGCTCCCTTTACGAAGGGAGGGCGAAAGCCAAAATTCTTGGCTGCCTTAGCAGAAGATGAGTGGGTGCTGGAACCCAGGCACCATCTCCTCTGCAAGCACACCAGGGGGTGGGGTGGGGTGTGGTGGGGTGGGGAGGGGATCACTCACTTCTTGTACAAGAATTCACCAGCAGCGACAGCTAGAGGACGGCTGGAAGCATAAACTAGTGGAAAGATGCTTTCGCAGTCAGAGTCCGTGAGCACGTCCTCCATGTTCCTGTTGTGTCAGTAAGGTGAGTATGTAAACCAGGCAGCCGAAATCATCGTGGCACCTCCCCGCTATCGTAATGCTACTCACTGGAGGATAAGCGTGAGAAGTCTTACTGCTTCCACCGCTACCTGGGGCTCCTTGTCCAGTGCCATGGACACCATCCGCTCCTGCAAGAAACAGACGGGTAGGAGGAGCAGGCAAAAGCAAGACCTGCCCTCCCCGCTGTCTGATATGCAGTCGCCGCCAACATTGTCCCAAGCATCTCTTCCACCCTCCAGTTTATGAATCACAGAAAGCCAGTGCATTCATTTGAAATATTTCCTGCTCCATCCAAGTAACCATCCCCGAGTGGCTTGCAAAAGCAGTTAAAAACATAAAAACAGCAATATAAGACTGCATAATAAAAACCAATAACAAACAAAAAGGAGTATACAAACCTTCTTAAAACAAGAACAGAGACCCATTATTAAAACCGAAATACTACAACAGCTTTGGCAGAATCACAGCTGGGAGGGGACCAAAAAGCCATCTAGTCCAACGATGCTCAACACAGGAATCCAGATCTCGGGCCTCCCCAACTGCTCAGCCTGTTTACCTAACTCCATAGAATCACAGAGTTGGAAGGGACCTCCAGGGCCATCTAGTCCAACCCCATGCACAAGGCAGGGAATTCGCAAATACCTTCCCCACCACCCTCCCCCCAGTGACCTCTGTTCCATGCCCAGATGAGGCCAAAAACCTCCAGGATCTCCAGCGAAACTGGCCTGGAGAATAACCACTTCCTGGCCCCAGAGTAGTGATCAGCATTTTCCTAGGCGTGTAAGAAAGCATCAACTCATTTTGACCTTGCACTTTCCTGAAGGAATTCAGCGCAGCATTCCGTGCGGCTCTCCCGTCTCCAGTTTATCCTAACAACCCAAACCCAGTACTTATTTATTTATCTGTTTCTTAAATTCATACCCCACCCTCCCAGCCAAGGCCGGCTCAGGGCGGCTTACCTAAAATCAGCGTATTTACAACAGAACAATTAAAACATTTATAACAATGCTAAAACCAGTTAACAATGATACAGTAAGTGCTAGTATTGTTGCTGCTGAATCAATGATGGCGACCATATTAGTTCTTTCTTCTCATATCCGGCTCCGAGGTCTGCTCCAGGTGTCTTTCAGGCAGCTAGCACAGGCTGACATTATGGGCTCCAGAGACAACAGGGCTTCCTCTCCTTCCACTACAAGTTGTTGATGATGTTCAATGGTGGTGGCGGTGGCTCCAAAGGCCTGGCGGAAGAGCTCCATTTTACAGGCCCTGCGGAACTGAGAGAGGTTCCACAGGGCCCTCATCTCCTCTGGGAGCTCATTCCACCAGGATGGAGCCACCACTGAGAAGGCCCTGGCCCTGGATGTTGACAGCCTGGCCTCCTTAAGACTCGGGAGGACCAGTTGATTCTGGGCCCCTGAACGCAGTACTCTCTGGGGAAGATGTGGGGAGAGGCAGTCATTCAGATGTGTCGGCCCCTGACCATAAAGGGCTTTAAAGGTAAGAACCAGCATCTTGAAATTTGGTATGCTACTGGCAGCCACTGCAGTGCCTTTAACACAGGCTGGATGTGCTCCCAAATTGGGAGTCTCATCAACAGCCTGGCCGCAGCATTTTGCACCAGCTGCAGCTTCCGGATTTGAGACAAGGGCAGCCACATGTAGAGAGCAGTCCAGTCTCAAGGTGACTATTGCATGGATCACTGTTGCTAAGTCGTTGCGTTCAAGGAAGGGAACCAACTGTTGGATCAGCTGGACATGATAAAAGGCAGATTTGGCAGTGGCTGCTACCTGGTTCTCCACTGTTAAGGAAGCATCCAGGAGCACTCCCAAATTCCTAAACTCCGGCGCTGGCACCAAAGGCACCACATCGAAGGTTGGAAGCGGGATCCCTACCCCCGGGCCACATTGGCCTAGGCACAGAACCTCCATCTTCATCGGATTCAGTTTCAGCCGGCTCAGCCTAAGTCAACCAGCCATGGCTTGTAACACCCGGTCTAGATCTTCTGGTTTGGAGGCTGACTAATCGCGCAACAACAGATAGACCTGGGTGTCATCCACCTACTGGTGACATCCCAGCCCATGCCTCCGGGCAATCTGGGCAAGGGGGCGCATATAGATGTTAAAGAGCATCAGGGACAACACAGCCCCTTGAGGCACTCCACACTCTAGTGGGTGCCTCTGGGATAGTTGGCCCCCTAATGCCACCCTCTGTCCCCGTCCTTGGAGAAAGGCGACAAGCCACTGCAAGGCCAGCCCCTGGACCCCCGTGTCGGCGAGGCGGTGGATCAGTAGCTAATGGTCGACCGTGTCAAACACTGCTGACAGGTCTAACAACAGCGGCACTGCCGATCCGCCTCAATCCAGATGCCTCCTGAAGTCATTCGTGAGGGCCACCAGTGCCGTCTCCATCTCATGTCCCGGGCGAAAGCCGGACTGGAAGGGATCTAAGGTGGAAGTTCATAGCAGTGTGATATTTGTACGCAAGTCTCCCAGATCCAAGCGCAATACTATAACCCCTGTGCCATGCTGAACATCTCCAAGTAGGCCCAAAGATGGAGGGCCTCTCACGCCTCCCTCCTCCAAGAACTGGTACTGTTGTGAATTAATCTTCTCGAAAAAATGTATAGGAAACGTCATCTTTCTTCTTGGCTCAATGTGGCTTACAAGTAATAAAGCATTATGAATTAAAAGCAAATACATTTTTAAAAATCCAAATACGTTTAGTCCTGCCCCAAAGATTCTTGCAGTTCATCCCCCATCAAAACCCCTGGCAAACAGGCAAACTGTGCCCTGCCTCCTTATCATCTCTAAGGAGGGGACTCTCCTCACCTCTTCAGGGAGCCCATTCCACAGAGCTGGAGCCATCATGTGAAAGGCCCACACTCCGGTCAGTGCCACGCAGGCCACTTTAAATGTGGGAACAACCAGTAGATGGCAGCTTGAAGACCACAGCTGGCACAGAGAACAAGGGAGGTGGTAGTTCCGGTCTATTCTGCTATGGTCAGGCCCCACCTGGAGTCCTGTGTCCAGTTTTGGGCACCACATTTTAGGAAGGATGTTGACAAGCTCGAGCGTGTCCAGAAGAGGGCAACCAGGATGGTGAGAGGGTTGGAATCCAAGTCTTATGAGGAAAGGCTGAAAGAGTTGGGTATGTTTAGCCTGGGAAAGACAAGGCTTAGAGGGGACATGATTGCAGTCTTCAAATATTTGAAGGGCTGTTATGTAGAAGATGCAGCGGATCCTATTCTCTCTTGCTCCCGATTGCAAGACTAGATCTAATGGGTGGAAATCACAAGGGAGTCGTTAACGGCTAAATATCAGGAGAAACTTCCTAACTGTGAGAGTGGTTGAGCAGTGGAACAGTCTGCCTCAGGAGGTGGTGGATGGACGACCATCTTTCGGCTATGTTGTAGGTATGTAGGGCTATCTCTCAGTATACTCCTGCAGAGTGCAGGGGTTTGGACTAGATGACCTGCAAGGTCCCTTCCAACTCTAACATTCTATGATTCTATGATATGGGACGAGCTGGTTATCAGTACCAACTGGTTGGAGGACTGTGTTGTCCCTATGACCGGGGGGGGGGGGGACCACTCGTAGAGCACAGAGCTCACTTGCCCATTTTGCTGAAGATATTGATATCTTGCTGAAGATATTGATATCCTCCCATTTTCTCAACCTGTCCCAGGAAGCACTATTTGGCCTGTTAGGGAAACTTAAAAGTACACATATATGTCCCCCAATCCTGTCACTTGTGTAATCCAGGAATTAAGGAGCATCTGCAACTCACAGAAATGACCCAACTTGCATGCTCCATAGTGTGTAGACTGGTCTCCATGAGATGAGAGGCCATCCGTGTGTTTCAAGGGTGGACCAAATGAACATGTAAAAGGATCCCAAGATCTCTTCCAACAAGCCAATCCACTTGGGAGAGAACAAGGTGAGCGTGGAAATGGTTTCCTTGAGTTTAAACATTTTTCCTGGGGTGACTGCTGCAGAAGGCAATCTACCACGCTGCCTAGTTCAAGATGGCAACACCCCACCTTTCCTTAGCTCTGAGAGGCAAAATCTTTTGCACGGGGAAAGCTGATGACATTATGTTGTCGAAGGCTCTCATGGCCGGAGTTCATTAGTTGTAGGATTTTTTGGGCTGTATGGCCGTGGTCTTGGAATTGTGGGACCTGACGTTTCACCAGCAGCTATGACTGGCATCAGTTATACCTCAGAGGTATAAAACAGAAAGATGGAGTACTCTCTGTGTCAAGGTGAGAAAATGGTAGGCAGGAATTTATATCTACTCTAGAAGGTGGGGTAGGGCTGAGTCATTATCTTGTAGGAGTTCCCCAGGCTGTGACATGCTAATGGAGAAGCTTTCCTGAGGAGGTTCTTTTGCATATGGATTGGCTGTTGAAATTCTAATCTTATCTGTAGTGCTATTGTAAGATGTAGAGTATTTTGTGTTTTTCAGGACAGGAAACCATACCCTATTTATTTTTAAGCTCTCTTCTTTCCTGTTGAAATTGTGTTTATGTTTATGAATTTCAATGGCTTCCCTGTGTAATCTGACATGGTAATTGCATGTGTTGTCCAGCCTTTCAGTGTCTTGGAATAAGATACTGTGTCCTGTTTGAGTTAGGCTATGTTCAGCCATTGTTGATTTTTCAGGTTGACCCAGTCTGCAGTGTCTTTCATGTAGGGATGTGCATTTCAGGATCCCGAACCGAAAAAAAGCCGAAAATAACGTTTTTCGGCTTTTTTCGGCTTTTGCAATCCCGAAATGGCTTCCTATGCGGTTTTCCGAATCCCGAAAAAAAAAGTTTTTTCCCACCATAGAGAACAATGGAGGGATGGGGGCAACCTGTTTGGGGGCCCATAGAATTGGACCCCCTGGTCCAATCTTCTTGAAACTTGGTGGGCATGTTGGGGAGGGGTTCCACTAACCACCCTCCAAGTTTGGAGCCTCTCCCTCTAACCCCCTCCTAGGGGTCTGCAAAAAGGAAAGCAGAAGGTTAAAATCCCATTGAAATGCATTGCATTTCGGCGGCAAACCAGGAATACAGCAAGCTGATCTGGGGGGACTGGGGGCACCCTCTTTGGATGCCCCTGGAATCGGACCCCCTGGACCAATCTTCTCGAAACTTTGGGGGTCTTTCGGGGAGAGGCTTGAGCAGCCACTGTCCAGATTTGGAGCCTCTACCCCCTCCCCCCCAGCCCCCTGCAAAGTTTCAAGAGGTTTTTTGCCATTGACTTCAATGGCCCCATTGGTTATAATAAACCCGAATTTTTCGGGTTTCCCGAATATTTTCGGATATCTATGCTTTACCGAATTAGATATTCGGGTTTTTTCGGGTTTCCCGAAAAAATTCGGGTTCAATAAACCCGAATCCGAATTTTACCGAATTTTTTTTTTTTGCACATCCCTACTTTCATGTTCTTTATTCTTGTCTGAATGCTACGCTATGTGGTAAACCTGTAAAACTGTCCACAACTGCAGGCTATGCGGTATACTCCTGCAGAAGTGAGGGGGTCTCTTCTGTCTTTTGCTGATCGTAGCATCTGTTGTAATTTTCTGGTGGGTCTGAATACTGTTTGTAGGTTGTTTTTCCATCTGATCAGTGATTTCTTTGATATATACTTTTCCTGTGGGAGACTGTTTTCCCTCAGTTGTTTTACCTTTTGTTCAATTGTTCTTCTAATTTCATTCTTGGAGTAGCCATTTGCTTGAAGTGAGTGGGTTAGATGATTTAGTTCATCGTTGAGAAAGTGCGGTTCACATATCCATCTTGCACGGTCTACTAATGTTTTGAGATTATGCCTCTTTTTTGCCGAGGGTGGTGATTGGAGTTTTTGTGTAAATAGCAATCCATGTGACTTGGTTTTCTGCAGACCTTGTGACCTAATTGAAACAGAACAGCTGATGACAGTTCCCTTGCAGAAGTGGAGAAACTCCATGAATGGGGTGAGCAGCTGCAGTTTACTCAGATTGAATGTCGTGTTGACTATTATTTTTACAAGTAAAACTGGAGGAAACAGGGAGAGTGTCACGGGCTGGGTTAGGAGGCAGGAGTCAAGTCTGGCCCAGGTGTCAGCTAAGGCTGCCATGGTGTGGAATGTGTGGGTTGTTCTGTCTCCCTCCTCCCATCCCCCCTTGCCTTTCACCTGCGAGCTGTTATCTGTCTAGTGTCCTTGAAGGCTTGACTCTGCCTGTTCCTAGCTTCTCCCTGGGAATGTAACTGTTGCTTTTTGCCCACGTCTTCAGGTGCTTGCTTATTGGCTTTCTTGCATCAGGAGGTCATGTATGAAGGGGGTATATCTAAAGGTTCGAATCATTTGCCCTCCATTCCTGACACAAGAGTTCATGATGTCCTAAGCACTAGTCCTCAATAAACTGAAACTTCTGAAGGAACGTTGTTGTTTTTTTGTTTTTTCCCCCTGATTGCCCATTGTTGGGTTAGGGTTTATTAGTTTTTTAAAGAGTTATATAAAACAAAAAAAAGAGAGCCATACACTTCAAAGGTATCCAGCCATTGCCTCGTTCATAACATCTTTAGATACATAATTCCCTTTTTCCCTTTGTTAATCTATAGTCCACAACAGATGTCATTAAGTAAAATTCTGTTCCCAATAAACAATTCATTTTTTCTATATCCTATCTGCTATTACTATTATTAATCAATTTTATAACAATAAAAATATAAAAGAAAAAAACACACAGGTATTTCACAGCAGTTAGACAGTTCGAATTTCTTATATAATATCAATCTAGGCCCTTTAAGATATTCTTTCATATTTTTAGTATTGTTAGCTTTCAAATTCCCCTTTATTTGCAAACCTAAACGTAGTAATTTATATTTTCTCCATAACATCTGCTCTCAACTTTACACTGCCAATATACTTTCACCTCACACTATATAGATCCCTCTTTTCTCTCACAACACTTAGGGTCATTACACCTTCTCTAGGTAATTAGGCCATTACTTTTATTTTTTCCCTACAAGGCCCACTTTAAGAGTCAAAACTACCCTATAATTTTTTATCAACCATCAGTTAGAACATTACAAATATCCAAAACATATTGCTTCAAATAAACCAACCATTACTTCTAACTTTCACTAATCAGTTAAGACAATAAAGATAGTCAATATTTGTAACTACAGATTATATTCTTAATCAGTCATTTATCAAGTATCAGTAAAGGTTCAGAGAAAAGAAGGAAGAAAGAAATAATATATGAACAAATGTGTGTTATTATTGTTGTTTTTCTTTTGCAGTTTGAGAGTTCACTTTAGGTAAATCTTCTCATTAGTCAGTTTCACCATGCAAACAATCGAGATATATTGCTACTAATTAGTTATACAGTTTATATTTCTTCTGTTTTCCCTGCAAATGTCTCCCCAAAATTGTTAATCTCCTGTGCCTTTGATCTTTGAAGGTCTCAGTCTTACTTATGTAGTAGCACTTGAAAGTCTGTTCAGTCTCTGAAGACACTTTGAAATTCTCCCCCTCCCCTTCCAGACTGCTTGTATGCACGATCAAACAGCCCAAAGCCTATAAAAATGCCTCGTTGTGCTTGGCAACTAAGAAAACTTGGGACTTCAAGCAGTCAGAGTAGTCTTTTGTTATTTCTCTCATATTAGGGATCACATCTCCAGACCGGTCGAGGTTTTGGGACAAGGATGGCGTCATTTGCAATGGAGGGTCTGTTATACTCTCAAAAGCACTCTCGATTTGTTCCAAAAATGGAGAGAGAGCTTTCAAGTATTTTAGTTTGCATTCGTAGAATAATCTAGTCCCAAAAGGTTTCTGACAGTTGCCAGTCCTCTCCAATTTGTGCTAAAAAAAGCCATTTCGCACTTAAGCCGAGATGTCTCTGTGGAATTACGCCATTAAAAGTGCCAGCTTCGTCACCATTTTACATCCAGACCCCATAAATCAAGTAAGTCACTGTTCTTCAATATTTAAGGTGTTTTCCAAATAGCAGATAGGAGATTTCAATATATTACTCTACCCTTTGTATTTATATTGACGTTGACGCCCCGGAGCTTATCATAGGAATGCGTGAGGGAAGATTCCTCAGCACCTCCTTTAGCTTCTCGGAAAGATTTATAGGGGCAAATAGAAGTTGTTTTCCAAGCTTGAAAGTTGTCAAGAAAAAGAAAGTACTCACAGGTTCATCGCCTAGATGGTATGACGAGGTTTGAAGGCTCTTTGTAAAGGGGTAATACAGCTTGTCAGTCGTGCTATCAGGGCTGGTCTTTGGTGCTTCCTGCGTTAGGACAATTCTGACTCCACACCCGTTGTTGCCACAAACGGGGGGCTCAGATATAAAAGTCCTCTGCAATCAGTTCGTACTCCCGACGAACCGATGGGACCAAGGAGAACCAAATGGAACCCTAAAAAAGCTCCAGAAGTTGGTGAGTCTCAGAGCTCTGAGAAAACTCAACCACATCGCTGCACTGTTGCCCTGCCTCCCCCCTGAAGGAACGTTGTTGAGTATCTTGACTGGAAAGCCTGACACCAGGGGTCGTAGCCAGAAGAGACAGAACAGGAGCCGAGTTGAGAGTCCAAGAGAATAGTTGTCCGAAGCAGGAGGTCAGGAAGCCAGAAATCCAAACAGGAGCAAGGTTCGGAAACAGGAACCGAGGGTGGGCACAAGGTCAGCACTTGCTAGCTTAACCCAAGGTTCCAATATGGGGCTCTACTGTGATGAACTCTCAGGGTCACAGAAATTCCGAAGAAACAATACACAAGATCCAGGTTTGCTAAAAAGAGATTTTTAATAAAGCATCTAACTTACAGAAAATGACGGCTAAGCCTTCATCAGCTGGACCTCGAGCACATACACGCACAGCGAAGCTTGCCCGAATCTGAGACCATGTGCATCACCAAAACTAGGCGTCCTATATGCTAAAGAATGACTGATCAAGCTGTCCCAAACACTTGGATGAGCCACGCCATTCTATACCCGGCCTCCAGTGGAGAGAAGAAACAACTCAGGCCTTGAAGATAAGGGCTGCTAACGTGCGTGCGTGTGTGAGGGAGGGAGAACGAACAGCTCTCTTTGGAGTGGCCGAACATCACCCTCCCCCCGAACTTCAGGCAAATAAGCACCGGCATGTAACAAAGATGGAGTTACCCCAGCCATACATCTACACAGGTGCAGAGCCCAAACAGACAAGACTATATTTCTACACAGACCAACGCTCCAGAGTAGAAGAGTAATAATGACCTCTGGTGTTGTCTTCTAGCACTGCCTTGGAATCTGTCCTGGAGAAGGAAAGCAGGGAGCCTGGACAATCTCAGGAATACTGATTACTGAAGAGGACTGCACTATTCAAATCCTTCTCCATTATACAACGCAGAATCCCTCACAATTAACTGGAGTAAGATTGGTCACTCAAAAGTTCCAACATTCAACAGGAAGCCGAAGGAAGTTGCCAGCTTGGTGAGCAACAGAACTCACCAGAATTTGGGGTGCTGAAGGACTGTGTCACAATTCTACCTTACTTACTGCTAAACATTTCTAACTTTTCTGTGAAATACAGTGGGAGATTCAAACAAAGGATGCTATTCAACAGAGGATAACCATTCTGTCCTGGGGAAGGGGCGATGGCTCAGTGGTAGGGCATCTGCCTGGCATACAGAAAGAAGGAGATTGGATTTATACCCCACCCTTCACTACCCAAAGGAGTCTCAGAGCGGCTTACAAACTCCTTTCCCTTCCCCTCCCCACAACAGACACCCTGTGAGGTAGGTAGGGCTGAGAGAGCTCTTGACAGAAACTGCTCTTTTTTCAAGAACAGCTCTTATCAGAGCTACGACTTGCCCAAGGTCACATCAGCAGGTGCAAGTGGAGGAGTGGGGAATCAAACCCGGTTCTCCCAGATTAGAGTCCGCGCACTTAACCACTACACCAAACTGGCTCTCAGAAAGTCCCAGGTCTCAAGTTGGGTCAGGCAGGGATGGGCATCTTACCTTGAAACGGCTGGTGAAGAGTTCCATACGAGAAGCCATCTCCTGGTTGCGATACAGCCCTTGCAAAGCCAGTAAACACCTGAGACGAACTTCCCCCTGCTGCAAGATGTGATGGACAAGGCAGGTAAGAAAGAAGCAGTACCCTTCATCTGGCATAACCCTCCATTCTGCCATTTCAGGCCACTGCCCCCATATTCTGCTGTGATACATGCTGTGTTCATACGGAAGTATGCCTTCTTGTCATCACTGGCCATCTTTTTGCAACAGTGATGATTTAGAACTGTTTCACACATTACATTCTCCATGTACAGGTAAAAACATAAAGTGTGATTGTGATAAAACAAGAAGAGAAGAGATTGGATTTATACCCCACCCTTCACTTGGAGTCTCAGAGCGGCTTACAAACTCCTTTCCCTCCCCCTCCCCACAACAGACACCCTGTGAGGTGCGTGGTGCTGAGAGAACTCTGACAGAGACTGCTCTTTCAGGAACAGCTGTGCCAGAGCTTGTGACTGACCCAAGGTCACATCAGCAGGTGCAAGTGGAGGAGTGGGGAATCAAAACAGGTTCTCCCAGATTAGAGTCCGCACACTTAACCACTACACCAAACTGGCCCAAACAGGGCAGTTGAGAACGGAACTGCAGCAAGAGGCGAAGGGGGTAGTTTTGTTTGCAATGGTTGGTTCTTCCACTGTTCAGGGGTTTTCTTTGCTTCTGAAGCTTTCTTCCAGCTCTTGGTGCACACTACAGCTCACCTTGTAACGAGATAATGTGCTCTCACAACCAGTTAGAGCAGGGGTGTCAAACATGCAGCCCGGGGGTTGGATCAGGCCCCCAGAGGGCTTCTATCAGGCCTGCAGTGAAACTGGCTGTCTTCTGCTTCTTCCAGTTCTGCTGCTGCTGCGTCATTGTAGGTTTGCAGGTTACAGATACACACCTGATCAGCATACTCAGGATTGCAACAGCACAGGCATTTTGGTGCAATATTTCAGAGCTAGAGGTGTCAGTTATCAGACACTATTAAACAAAATATTGCAAGAGTGCTGATGTTTGAAGCATGTTTTTATTTTAAGTTTAAAAAAAAACTTTGTGTTTGTGTGTCCTTTATAAAGTTTATGTCTCCGCTACCTGGCATTACATTTTATGACACACATGGGCCGGCCCAACAAGGTCTCTTTATATCAGATCCGGCCCTCATAACAAATGAGTTTGACACCCCTGAGTTAGAGAAACTGGACCAACTATTTCTCTAAGAATTCTTCTTTAAACTATTTGGCACCAGATATCAAACCAGATTTCAGATTATTTTAAACTGCTTTTAAGAATTTTCATATAAACCCAAGTTCCACATACAAACTGAAATCTCACCTAGTATCTTCTGAGAGTTCCATCCAGAGAAATCTGGTTTGCTTATCACATCAATGTGTTTATATTGCAAGTAGCAGTCTTATTTATTTAAAATATTTATTACCCACCTTTGTTCCTTACAGAGCTCAAAGCAGCTTGCAATATGAATAAAATACATAAAATAGATTAAAAATATACAACCAAAATCTTATCATATGCTAAGCTCTGCCCATCTCAGTAGCTTAAAATGTATTATCATCATTCTCTAGATAAATGACTTGATTCTAACTACCAGGGAGATAATCAAACAGACGCATCTAAAGATACACCTGATACCTCTTCATTATCCTTTTCAAGCCAAATCAAAAGGCCAAATTTAACTCTTAATTCCAATTAAAAGGTAATAAATCCTATAATTCTGTAACAGCTTTAACTATCAAAGATAAAAGAAAAAAATCAGATTGATCAACTGGTGAACCTGATATGAGCACACAGCTACATGAAAATGTGCCAGATCAGCCAGAAAACCTGTGATTTAATCAAAATCCTGCCACAGGATTGCCAGGAAGGAAGGTTGGGGGTGGAGACATGGGGGGGGGGGCACGTGCACATGACTTTGGCTGAGTCACTCCATCACTTCTAGGGAAATCCACAGAGTTTCCAGTGATCCTTAGAGCTACCCTACGTCACTCCCAGGCTTTCCCCTGAAGTGACATAGCAACGCAGTCAACCTCTGCCACCACTCAGAGCTATGGCAGACAAGTAAGGGGCCACTGGTGTGAGGCCTAGTAGCCCTGGCTACAGCACACAGACCAAGCTGCAGGGGGGGCTTCTGCTGACTGCAGCGAGTCATCTGAAGCAGAGTACAACCAGAAAGGGGGAGAAAAACACAACCCTGCACGAGAAAGGTAACCAGAAAGGTTTAAACAGAAAAAGATAGCAGTGCAAATGTACAAAATATAACATTTAATTTAATGATACAATTGCAAGTGCTAAAACATTTAAAAAACAATCCTAACCCCGATATAAACACAAATGTTCATTCATATAAATACAGGTTAAAAGGTAGATAATGTCTCCATATGCAAAAACCAATACCAAACACATTTCAGCAATAAACCTTCCTCATTGGTATAATTCAAACGCAATTAAAAATATACATAACACTAACCATACACAGAATGGACCTGATGTGAACGTGGGGAAAATAAGAGAAAAATAATTAACTATATAACTGTTAAGAAACATAATTATTTAAATGTTTTGAAATAAATGGACCTGGGATAGCTACTTTACTCACACTGAGATATTCACCCACGGAGTAAAGTGGTATTAAATATTCTTGAGGTAGAACATGGGCAACTGAGATGTAAAAGATTTCATTTGCCCATGGATCTAAAATACACACAAATCATGTAATTAAACAACTGCAAATTAAAGTCTCCTAACTATTATAGAAAAAAATATGTAGCCTACTGAAAAAACCCTACATGTCATGGAATTGGGGCCTGGATTGAACCTTAGTCCTCTGGTAAACCTATGTTATTTCAATTTCTATAGTAAAGTATAGTTGAATGGCACCTGGTATTTTTGGCCACTGTGTGACAGTGTTGGACTGGAGGGGCCATTGGCCTGATCCGACATTGGCTTCTCATGTTCTTATGAATCTTTGGTTCTGTTTCCCAGAAGGCTTCAAGACTTTGCTAGTGCTGTGGCCTTCTGGTACCTTTAACTCTGTACACGATTCTGGCCTTAGAGGATGTTTATACATTTCAGAAGCTAGTGGTATCACTATCACAATCAAAATGGACAGGGTATCTGAAAGTAGCATCCTTGACTCTTTTTGACTTTCTGTGAGCTTCCTGACCCGAGACAGAGGGGGGGGGGAGGGATTTGGGTTGGTACATTGGGTCAGTTACAGTCAGGCCTGCGTCACATTCATGGTAGTCCTACATGAGAAGTGCGTCACTATGCACATCTGCTGCTATAGGTCCAAGAAAGACAAGTATCTCTGGTTTACTAAAGATGGGGCCTGTCCATCAACAGTTCCGTTTGAGACCTTGGTGACTAGTCCAGAACGTTCTGAGTTTTATACAAGTGCACTACTTTATGTGTTGGGCTTGTGTTGAAATATTCTATGTTGAATACTGAAATGCTACAAAAGTGTTTTCTGACTTAAGAGTGTGTAATGGAATAAGTTGAGTTTTGGTTTAGAACTCTCTCTCTCTCTCTCTCTCTCTCTCTCTCTCTCTCTCTGCAATTGGGATCCCTGCCAGGTTCTCCCCCTCCCCATTGAACACAGTGGGGGGATGGGAGTCCATGAAAAGGCTCCAGCACTCCTAATTTCCCAAATAATTTACCTTCTTAGGTCCAATCTGCAGTGCTCAAAGCTCCAATGGAGTGCTCAGGTACAACTAAAAAAGAATCAGCACCATAGTAATCCACACCCCCCCCCGGAATATATGGAAAATGTGGGGGTGGGGGAAATGTGATGCAACAGGAGAGAGAAGGGGGGATGATGCAGAGGTAATCAGCAGCACCACTGGGAGAGGAAAACTGCCTCACCCTACTTGCACATCTCAGTCCAAAAAGCAGCCAAGTCCATCATGCACATATTGTTGTTCAGTTGCACAGAGTGTGAAATGAGTGCAATTGTGTGATAGTTTGAACATTCCTTGGCATTGCCCTTCTTTGGGGTTGGAATGTAAACTGACCTTTTCCAATCCTGTGGCCACTGTCGCATTTTCCAAATCTGCTGGCAAATTGAGGGCAGCACTTTAACAGCATCATCTTTTAAGACTTTGAATAGCTCAGCTATCACCTCCGCTAGCTTTGTTGTTAGTAATGCTTTCTAAGGCCCATTTCACTTCGCTATGCAGCATGTCTGGCTTGAGGTCAGTGATTACACTGTCATGGTTGTCAAGGACATTGAGGTCCTTCTTGTATAGTTGTTCTGTGTATTCTTGCCACCTCTTCCTAATTTCTTCTGATTCTGTTAGGTCCCTACCGTTTTTGTCCTTTATCATTGCCAGCTTTGCACGAAACATTTCCTTGATTTTTCCAATTTTCCATTCTATTCTTTTCCTCTATTACTTTGCATTGTTCATTCAGGAAAGCCTCCTTATCTCTCCTTGCTGTTCTCTGGAAATCTGCATTCAGTTGGGTAAATCTTTCCTTTTCACCTTTCCCTTTCACTTTCCTTCTTTCCTCAGCTATTTGAAAGCCTCATCAAGACAGCCACTTGCTTTCTTGCATTTCTTTTTCTTTGGAATTGTGCTGATTGCTGCTTTCTGTACAATGTCACGAACCTCCGTCCATAGTTCTTCAGGCACTCTATCAAATCTAGTCCCTTAAACCTATTCTTCACCTCCACTGTATATTCATAAGGGATGTGATCTAGGTCAAACCTGAATGGCCTAGTGGTTTCCCCAACTTTCTTCAGTTTAAGTCTGAATTTTGCAAAGAGTAGCTCATGATCTGAGCCACAGCCAGCCCCAGGTCTTGTTTTTACTGACTGTATAGAGCTTCTGGAGAGCCAGTCTGGTGTAGTGGTTAAGTGTGCGGACTCTAATCTGGGAGAACCGGGTTTGATTCCCCACTCCTCCACTTGCACCTGCTGATGTGACCTTGGGTCAGTCGCAAGCTCTGGCACAGCTGTCCTTGAAAAAGAGCCGTTTCTGTCAGAGCTCTCTCAGCCCCACACACCCCACAGGGTGTCTGTTGTGGGGAGGGGAAGGGAAAGGAGTTTGTAA